CGTATCAAATTAAAATCAACATTCGTATCAAAAATCCAACCAGTCTCACAGTCATAATATCAATCATTAACATTCGTATCAATTTAAAATCAACCTTTATTGTATCAGATTCATAATAACCATCCTTAACTCGTACTATCTATAGAAACAAGCTGTCATGGCAAGCTGTCATAGAGAGAGAGAATTAAAGAAATATTATCCGGTATTCGCGCATTCTTAGGAGTTTTATCTATCCCCCCCTCCGCCAAGATAAACACCATGCCCTTTGAGAAGTTAAATTTAAAAGACGACATTTTTGAGGAGTGTTCGACGACAATTAAATACCAAACCAAACCATTGCAATAGAGAGACGAGAGAGAGAGAGAGAGAGCAACAGAGAAATTGTAGAAAACATACATACTCACTTAGGCCTCCTTAAAAGTGAAATTATATGACAAATGGTGAAGAATCGAGTGAAAAAGTGAAATATCATGAAAAAGATTTTAAAGAATTAGATGTTTTGTCGTTTAATCAATAATTGTGCCCTGCTGGGCGGGCATTTTTTATTTGTCAACAATATCGACATATTTTAAGTTTGATAGGTGATCCACATCATAGTTTTAAATTAGTTAAGCCCTAAAGAAGTCAAATGTGCTGTTTAATTTAGGATTTTGAATATCGTATAGTCTTTCATCCGTTCCCAGTTTACTCTAGAAGTTAAAATTTGAATCAGTGTTTGTTATTGATATCGCCGGTTCTACATATTTTTTCTTTTTATTTCCACTGCTTTTTACAGAAACTTTTATTACTTAAATCAATTTAACATTCAAAATTCAAACATGTACATCTTGATTTATAAATTATGGTACTAAATGTTTAGATTAACACAGCACATAAAAAGGAGCAACATATACGTAGAGAAAATAACACCGAGTAAATGAAAATAATGTTGAAACAAAAACCAAAACTTAAGAGGCACTTATTTTGAGGGCACGAAAAGCCGCAAACAAAATGGCTCGCACTTGTAGTAGACAGGCAGGGTATGATCGGGTCCGTCCTAGAAAACGCTATTTGGACCCCCTTCCTATAAATTTTGTACATGACCACTTATTTTTTAGCAAAAAAATTAGTAATTTTTTTAAAAATTATTTTAGGTTAGGTTAGGTTAAGACAATTTCTGGGCCGAGCGCTGCGGCCACATGACCAAGTATATTGATGTTACATATGAGATCCAAGTACAAAATTTATAGGACGGGGGAGGGGGGTCCAAAAATTGTATATTAGGATCAATTAAAGTTGAGAGAGTAGCATACAGAGTCAGTAAAAAGGCTTTGCACCCTAAAGTGGACGCTTATTATTGAAGAACCGAAAAAATAAAAATAATAAATGCTACCCAAGCTTTGCACCGTCGATTTGCAACATTGTTTGAGAAATCGAATTTATATACTAAAAAAACCTGGTAAATATAACTCCCGCAAATCGTATTCTGCCCGAATTCCTAAGAAAATATAAATGTAACTTTTTTGAACAGTCCAATACAAATTCGAAATAATGACCAGACAGAAAAGAGGACTGTTAAGGTACAAAAGCTCTGCACATTTGTTTATATTAGGGTGCCAAAAGTGCTAAAAGTGACAAAAACCTAAAATGCCTAAGAAAACAAAAATATTGCTATGCACTATATAAAATGCCGGATGTAAAGGAAAAATTATGCAGTTCGAGTCTTAAACGAAAATAAAGCCTTGCAGGGGAAATGTTATATAAAAGGGAAATTGACATTTTCTGAAATTAGAAGAGATCGGTTTCTCTAGGATCGGAAGGATCATTCTCTTGATCTATCTATCATAATGTTTCCTCTTTCTATTGCGGAATTCTGGTTTGGGGGTAGCCTGTTAGCCACTTTTTAATGCGCTGTGTCATGTATCGTATAGTCATGTTCTCTATGTTAGACAATACATTAGCTTGCTTGAATAAGTCCTTTATAAGATTTTTGGACCTCCCGCCAACAATTTCTAACTAATAGTATTTTAGCCTTTTTTCAACATGAAAATAATATTTGTTTTGTATTATTTTAGCGTTAGGTGAGGTCATTTAAAAGTTAAAACATTAATATTACACATTATTCTTTCTTGATAAAATTATGAAGTTGCAGAATTGCTCATATTTTGAGAAAATCCGCAAGTTTAAAATTAAAATTGCTTTTTAAAGATCAATTTTCAGGGTTAGGTTATGACTTCTGAGGCGCCGCATTGCACTTACCAAGAGAGGCTGAGTAGGGGCTAGAAGAGCTAGAGGGTCGAGTGCTGCGGCTAAGATATGCTAGGGGGCCGGGTGCTGTAACTAGGATTAATTAAGGGGCTAGCTAGTTTCTGTTAATGACTTATCGAGGAAAGTACGTCGAGTTTTTGTCAAAAAGCACGAGACGTAAGAGTATGTGACCAAAGAGCTAGTGTCCTAGCACCAATTTTTACCCTCCCCCCCCTTCCTAAATAAACGTATTCCTACTTTTACACCTAGTAGTACGATTTCTTCCCATGCATAGTGTAATGTCGATTTTATCGAATATGTTTGAAATTAATAGATGTACATTTTACAAAGCCTGACTAAACATTGTATCTATTTTATTCTATATATTATTCAGTATGCAATATTCACATCACGTACTTACATTAAATGTCATTTTATGATTGTCAAACGAACATATTTATTAAAGGTAGATAACAATGAATAGAAAAATATTCTTCTTATCCCTATTCTTAGCCTACATAGCCTCTCCTATAACCGCTATGTATTTTTTAAACGCCCTCAGACTCAAGTTAAAATATAGAAGTTTTTCCTTTACTATAACAGAAAATGGGTCTTTATATTAGGGGCCGAAATTAACCATGTTTTAGTTGTAAACCATTAGAAGTATGATGTCAAGTTGTAGGAAAAATCCATACTACAGAATGTACACTACATAAGAGTCTTTATTTTTCTGAATATCATAATTTATATTTCATATATATATTACTTATTTTTTACATCTTTTAACGCCCAAAATGAAGCACACGTTTCTTTAGTGTAGTCCACACAAAACTTGCCAAAGTTCACAATGACATAGAAAGCGTATTTTCATGCTCTTAAATGTACTTTCAACCCCAATCCCATTTGAGATCATAAATGGAATTATATGGATCCCTATTACAGGGTGATTAATGTGACATTATTATAAAACAAGGTTATGCGAATATGCAATAATTACTGGGTGTTTGAATCGTTATTATAAGTATCACAAAAAATATTAATGGAAAACCTTTAGGAAAATGATGAATCTTTGAGAAACTTTTGTGCATATTAGATTTTAATTTTGGAAATAAACATTCAACATTTTAAAATCATTTTACGCTTTAAAATCGTTGTAAAAGCCAATTTTCTACAAATTTTGATTTGCTAACTTGGCAATTTGTTCGAGAAAATATATTTAGGCTAAGTAAAATTTAGTTCCGAATAAAATGGATGCAAAAAAACTATAAGCAATTGAAAAAAAACAATAAATCTTGGATGAAAAAGATAAATTAATTATGTTTTGGTCTTGTTCATAAATAAAAGAGATTGACTGCCTATTTGAAATGAAATATATCGAAACATATTGTTTAAAATAAAGTTGCATAAGTTTTTTCCAATCAGTTTAAACTCTCGACCACGAAGGGAATAGTTAAGTGTAACCCTCAATCTGAAAAAAAGTGACGTAATAGAAATTTGGAGTTTGAACAAATCCTAGCATTTTGTTCTTAATTAAATATGCTGCAGAAATCATGGGAGTCAGTTCTTTAGTCTTTAGGATATAAAATCAAGATTCTTTAAGAGATTCTGAAAACACATTTAAGGATAAAGTCTAGTGTTTTCAATTGCCATCTTTGAATATAGGTTTACTTAAGATTTAGTTGACTGTCCCTTTAAACACCGACATCTGCGTAATTCAAGTTTCCATTTGACAGTGTCATTTTAAGCCAATTTATGTTGAACAATTTGCAACACTTAATCTTTTCAATGTGTTCGGGTGGTGTGGGGAGGTTTTGCCTTTAAACCCATTTTTCTTTACATACATAATTTATTTAGAAGGCTTTCTTTACTCATTTTTATAAAATGTCATGAAATTATGTAATAATAATTTTAGCAAACAATATTTGGCAAGTTTGTCGCATTATTTGGTGGGTGTGAGGCAAGGGTTGCAGTTGCTGTCTATACGCAACATACTGCAGTATTATTATACACTATACAACTATATACAGCCTCTTTAACTTTACAATTTACAGCCTTCTCAATTCTTTTCTTTCGAGCTCGGGCTTTTTCTAAGAAATTCAGGAATTTTTAACTTATATAATCTAATTCAAAATAATAGATTTTAGAAAACATATTGCAATAGTTTAAACTGTGAACGTCACAGCTTTTATTGCAAAATTTGCTAATTTTTTGTAAATAATTGCATCTTAAAACATAATGATTTTAACATTTTAATTTTAATTTTAAAAGCGTTATTAAAAATAAAAAAGAGACTCTTTTGGTAATATTTATCTTACTGAAAAATGAGGAAAGCCCAAATGTAAAATGTGCTTGTCAGAGTGTTTTGTAAGAGTTCTTAACTAAATAAGGTAAATTGATCAATATATTCTATTTAATTTAAAGTTTATTTTCTTGTACCAATTCAATATTGCTCTCCACAATGTAATTCTCAGCCAGGGTTTTTTTATATTGAAGATAGTTGGGAGTATACATTTTTTGCACAGATTTTAATGTGAATATGTATTTTTAACTCTTAATAATTTATTTTTAATTAAATTTACCAATAGTTTTAAGTATTTCTATAATATCAGATAAAAAATATTTTGATATTTATATATTTCTTCTTCTCTTTCTTCTTGTTCATCTTTCATACATCTTTCAATCATATAACGGCTAATTTTGAAAATTAGCCATTTTTACAAGGACCATTTTTAACGATCTTGTTTTTTTTTTATCACTGTATTCATTCAATGTGAATATGTATAAAATGGATACAAAGCTTATTTTAAATTTCCCAGCTATTCCCTGATTTCTACGAATAAATGAAATGTTTTAAGATCTAAATATTTTAGAGAATTGGTCCGTTCTCAGCTTTCATGTAGATCAAATCTTTTAAATATTTATTTCTAAATTAGGAACACAGTTTTTGTTGGAGAATATAAGCGTTATCATTCTTTAGTCAAGCTAGATAGAAAAAGGAGGCTCGGAGAGACGGCCCGGTACATTGTCCCTCTGGTACGGTCCCTTCAGGATAAGGCGGGTAGTGGTCGGAGGATAAGAGCTCGGGCAGAGCTCTGACCGGAAAGCAACATGTTCAGTTACAGTTCAGTCAATGAATAGTATTTGAGGTAAACAGAGTGAGAATGATTTGTTTTAACAAATTCCTTTTTTGACAAGTGAATGTTTTTCTCCTTAAACTTGGACGGAATTCTGTCGTCTAATTTAAACGAAATGAAAAGGTAATGTTCAAGCTAACTAAAATCTACGGCATCACAAAACATTTTTAGCTTTGATGCATTAAATCTGACAAAATGGGATTTCCTAGAATATGGATCGTGACGACACCCCCCCCCCCCCAACTTTTTTTTGGCTATTTGTTTACAGTTTTATGAATGAAACAAGGGGTGATTGTTTATTCATATCCAATAATTCTGTAAATTAAAATGAGAAAAACATTTCCCAACACAAAGACAACAGGAAAAAGCTTAAAACGTTAAAAAAAATTATTCATTTTAAATTGCTTGTAATTGGAAGGTAAATACATATTTTCAAATTTATTAGAAAAATGATAAATTAATTATGAAACGCTAAGTGTTCAAATTCAATTAAATATTTAAACAAAATCTCAAATGATTAAATTTTTGTATTTATCGCATAATTTGAGAAAAGTTTTGATGTTTATAAATAACTGATAGTTTTAGCCAGGGCAAGACATTTAAGTAGACACAGAAAAATAGTAATGCATAATTTTTAACTCTAAAAGAATATAAAGATTGAGCCTTGTGATAAAAAGTAATGGATATGAAAATGTACAACTTCAAGAATCAGTCTAGTCTTCAAAATTAGTCTGTATGAGGAAACAGCTTAACGGAAAACATTTCACATATATTCCCTTTAAAAGGGTAACGTTATCTTAAAATTTATTTATTACATTAGTAAACTATATTAACATTTTTGATGATATTTTTTAACGTTATTGCAATGCCAAAATATATAAACTCGTGTTTTCTGGTTCTCACTTTATTTCTACTTTTCTGTTTCTAATTATGCTTTAATCGTTTTTTCATAAATGCTTAACAATTTTAAAATTCCAAATTCCAGTCCCCCTGCCATCCCCCCCTGCCCCCCAAGCCCTTAGTAACATCCTGTCTGGTAATTGAATTTTATGGATAATTTTTTCCTTATTTTTATAAGATTTTTTTTATAAAAAAAAAAACAGAAATAAGTTGAATAATTGGTTTTTAGCAATTAAAAGGTTTCCAGCTCAGATCCCTGTTCTTTTTATGAACTTAGTTGGAGGAATTAAACAGAAACTATTAAAACAACTCTCCATTTTTTTATGAACATAGTTGGAGGAATTAAACAGAAACTATTAAAACAACTCTCCATTTTTTTATGAACATAGTTGTAGGAATTAAACAGAAACTATTAAAACAACTCTCCATCTTTTTATGAACATAGTTGGAGGAATTAAACAGAAACTATTAAAACAACTCTCTATCTATTTATGAACATAGTTGAAGGAATTAAACAGAAACTATTAAAACAACTCTCCATTTTTTTATGAACATAGTGGGAGGAATTAAACAGAAACTATTAAAACAACTCTCCATCTTTTTTTGAACATAGTTGGAGGAATTAAACAGAAACAATTAAAACAACTCTCCATCTTTTTATGAACTTAGTTGGTGGAATGAAACAGAAACTATTAAAACAACTCTCCATCTTTTTATGAACTTAGTTGGAGGAATGAAACAGAAACTATTAAAACAACTCTCCATCATTTTATGAACTTAGTTGCAGGAATTAAACAGAAACTATTAAAACAACTCTCCATCTTTTAAATCATCTTCAACTATTTATATTTAATTTATGCCTTTAAAATTAATTTCGACTTAATTTTTTTTTTATTATTGCAATTACTTTGCAGGGAATTTTAGGGTTCTTTAATTTACCAAAGATTCTTAAGACCAATTTTGTCAACGAAACCTCTGAGATGGTCATGAATCGTCATTTTACATGGTTGTCCCAAGGGACGTAAAGTAACTTAACGTCCCTCTGATGGGGGGAATCATGGGTCGGTAATGTTTTTAAAAGGCGGTAAAATTTGTAACTGTTACTTTTTTAAGGAAACCCATGGGTACTCAGACTAAAAAATTTTTTTTGACCTTGAAATTTTTTGAAACTTAGATTTTTTAAAGTTGTTTTTAAAATTCTTCAGGCAACGCCGGGCACTTTACTTAGTTAATTTCAATACATTTGTTTAGACGGAGGAACGGCGAGGTAGCGGGAATGGCTGGAACTGGAACAGGAGCTATAAGACCGGTGAATAGTATGGCGGGGCTAGGGTCTCCCGCCCCGGCGTTCCCTCATTCAATCGGCGGAACAAACAAGGCGGGCACCAGTCATTATTAAAACAATTTGTATTTTTTTCAAATCTTGCTTTTCTAATTTTTTGTGAGTTCAAACCGACTAAAAATAGATATTTTCATGAAGCCGTACAGACAAATTTATGACGTAAAAAACGCAGCTTGTGTAAAACTTGATCGTTATCAAATTATTGGGAAAGAATTGAAAACCAGACGTAAAAACTTCAAATAAATTTAATCAAGATTGTCCAATGTGCACTGTTGTTGGGATTGGGTAATTTATTTTCCTTGTAAACCCAACGATAGACTTTTAGAATCATTGAGATGATTTAGTCTTTTTATTATCAAAATAGGGAGTTATTTATCAACGCCTTTAGTCTCCAACTATTAGTTTTTAAAGTTCTCCAATTTTTATTTGATGTATCTATGAATTGATTGACGAATTTGAATTCGTCACTGTATTTCCATGGTAACTATGACCCCCTGTACTTCTATGTTTATTGGGGACCTTCCCTACTTGTTTTTCTATGTTTACTGGGAAACACCCATCCCAGTATTTTTTGCCCCCCCCCCCCCCATTTTATATTACCTAATATGACCGGGGTCCCCTAGCAGCAGGGAGGAAAACCGGTTCCTATGAAACTTTTCGCCACCTGGGAGGTAGAGAGAACTCCGCCAAATTGCATTCCAAGGTAAATTGGAAAATTTGCCTTCTTTAGCTTTAAGAATTCGGATATTGGTCTGTTTCTTTTAATTAAAAGATAGATTTATTTGATCTGAATTAAATTCTTAATTAGTTTGGTACATATTATCGGGGTTGATAGCGTTATAAATAAAATAAATTAATGTTTATATATCTATAATATAAAGTAGGAATAACTGTTTGTCTATTTGTATGAATGTCTGATCATAACTCATGAACCTTTTGCCCGATATGCCTCAAATTTAGTTGGGTGAACTTGGTGATGTGCTACCTTTAAAAAATAGAAAAGCTTGGATTATCCAAAGTTTTTCTGATCATCTTTAAGAGTCTGGCGTTTTTTGGCGCTCACTATTTAAAAAAATATGAGGCCGAATTTAAAGATTTTGAACCCCGTCTAGACGCGGCTCATATATGAGACACGGTTCAAACATTGTTGTTTTAACTGGAAATTTTAATAAGTGTTTCGAGATTTGAGGCGGCGCTCCATTGGAACCGGTTATTGGCGGTTTAGCGACGCGGTTCAAATTCATTATATTCAAATCTTATGATTTAACAACTTCAGGCTGTGTTCGTTGACCCTCTCCCGGTTAGTTCTTTTCAAGTCCCTGGACACTGAACTCAACTCAATTATCATTGCTGTGAAAATGCAGAGTTCAAAAAGAACATTAAGGTAAGGTTTTTTAAATGAACAGAATTTGTAAGGTTGGCCTTCAGTAAAAACCTCAATCTAGTACCGTTGATGGAGATATCATAGTGTTTCCCCTAAAAATTGACGCTTTCGCCCTTTTCACAGATTTCCCCTATACAGATAAGAAAAAAGTAATCAAGGCTTTAAGAAACTTATAAAGTAATGTTTAAAGGGAAAATGTTTTCAACCGTATATGGCACTCTTACTTTTCATTATGTTGAGGATTCCTNCTATCTTCGATTTTCTTTGGTGGGAGTAGGACTCTAAAGATTCTAAATGCACATAGTGGACCCATAAAATTGTGGAATAGAAAGGTAGCTGTTAGACTCAAGTTATGATTGCCTGTATGTCGTTTTCATATTTCACACTTTTATGGCTCTCACTGTAAGTTTATGTGAATATCATAAATCTTGGAGCTGTATGAACTTAAAAACAATTTGTTTCAGATTTTTCAAAGGACAAACTGTTTGAAAAATAAACACCCTTTTACTAAAACAACAAATAGGTTTTAATAAATGATTAAAAATTCAACAACAAGTGGGGAATGGGGGGGGGGGGCAAATANTGTCCCAAGGTCACATGGTGTGTTTTGAGAAACGGGAAATAAATATCTAGTAGTAAAATGTAGAAAATAGCAGAGAGAGTTTTTGATCAGTTTAAATGAGCAGGTAGAATTGTTTCAGAGTTGGAATAGTTTTGATAATTGTTCTCTAGACATTGTTTTAGTAATACTTAACACTTTTTAATTAAAAATTTGCTGTGAAATTATGCCTCTATTGAATACTAATATATTTAGATCTAATGAGATACTGCTACCCTCTACTGGACTACTGGATACTGAACTAGAACTAAATTTCTCTCTACAGTATCCACACTTCCTAAAAAGAGAGGGAAACAAGCTTCAGGTGTGAATAAAATACTATTTTTTCTCTCTAATTTTTTTTTTTTTTTTTTGGCTTTTTAATATTGTCCGTTTGATTAACATTAATAATTATTTCTATAATTTTGTTCACTTTATTTTTTATAAATATATTTTGTGTTTGTCATTCAATTCTTGTTCGTTGTTTTAATCCTTTATATACGAGCAATAAAGTTGCAAAGCTGACTTTTTCATTTTCTAGATAATGCTTCAAAGAAGGAAAAAGTACAAAAATCGAACTATTTTGGGATTCAAAACTCTTGCGACAGGTAAGAAATCTATCTCCATCCCCCCTTTCCGGGATAAAAAGTTAAATTATTGATACTTTAGACTTTTTCTTTTTATCATTCTTCTTCATTCCGCTTTTTTAAAAGCATTTAGTTGGGAAGGTGATAAAAATACATAATCAAAGAACTCTTTCTTTAAACATTTTTAATGTGTTCAGTACCATATGGCACAATGAATTGGTATAAAATATAGTTGGGACAACTTAAATTCAAGGTTTGACTTAAAAACAGCAATTCGTTCTTAATTTTTGGCAATATTCTTTAGAAAATCTTAAATTTAAGAACAGTGTTCTTAATTTTTTTGGAGCTGTGGGCAACTATGATATAAACTTTTATATCAAGTTTATGAAATGGGAGTAAGAGGGGGGGGNCAGGGTAATGAATTTACTTCAATTTCTTAAAATGGTTTAAAATTTCTTGGTAAGTTTTCCCCTTTAACGATCCCAGGGGATTATAGAGTCAAGATCCACTAATCTTTCTTCTTTGTTGTGTTCAGCTCGGCTAGATCAGAATTTTCAACAAGTTTATTGCGATTTTTATAATATATTTTGACATTTAAAGGGAGTGTTCGCGAAAAATGAAAGGGGGTATAGGCTCAATGCGATAAAAAAGCGCTTTTGATCGCTTCTAATCTTACTTCTATCTGTTGCGTCTATAAGGAGAAAACACCGAATATGAAAAATTATGAAAAATGAACTATATACAAATATGGCGATAGATAATCGATGACCATAGGGTGTAATATCTGAATGATCTGTTTGAAATTAAATAGTTTTTTTTTACGGTCTAAGTAGTATGTTGCATCTTTCTGAATTTGTATGGATACTACGTTCTTAGGTATTAGTCGTTTTTAACAATTTTCTCCTTATAGACGCAACAGATAAAAGTAAGATTAGAAGCGATCAAAAATTCCTTTTTATCGCATTAAGCCTATACCCCCTTTAATTTTTCGCGAACACTCCCTTTAATTAAAAAATATTATAGAAAAGAATAAATTTAGGAACATTTTTCCGAAACCGTTTACAGGGTCATATTTCTTTTTAAAATAGTTGATTATAATTGATTGTCTACAGGTTAACTAGACACAGGCTAAAATTCCACAAGTCGAATCCCTGCAACAAATTGAGACCTGTCAACTTTTTTAATGAAAAAAATCCCGTGTTCAGAGTTTGAGGACACATATCCTTTACCGAGTTTTCTTATAGTTTAAAATATATTGAAACTTTACACTCTAGAAATATGTTTGGAAAATGGGCAGTAAAAAAGAAGAATTTTTTCCTGTTATTGATGTTTTAAACAGACCAGAGGCCGAATTTAATGAAGTTGAGCGCGGCTTAAATTTAAGACGTGGCTCAAATATGGTTGGCTCCTCTAAAATCGCAATCATTGTTTCAAGATTTAAACCGGCGCTCAATTGAAACCGATTTTTGACGGATTTGATTGTCAGCTCAAATTCATTAAATTCGGACTCAGACCAGGGAACCCATAGTTAAAAAGTTAATTTCTTCTCAGATGAAATTAAACTTTGTAGAGCGGGGTGTTATTTTCCTTAATTGTACCGTGGCACAGTTACGTAATATTAACATCCTGATGTTTGGGGAATCAGGGTCGGTAATGTTGGTCAAAAAGGCGGTAAAAAGGTCATTGCTCCTCCCTGTCCCAAGGTCACATGGTGTGTTTTGAGAAACGGGAAATAAATATCTAGTAGTAAAATGTAGAAAATAGCAGAGAGAGTTTTTGATCAGTTTAAATGAGCAGGTAGAATTGTTTCAGAGTTGGAATAGTTTTGATAATTGTTCTCTAGACATTGTTTTAGTAATACTTAACACTTTTTAATTAAAAATTTGCTGTGAAATTATGTTTTCCCATCGACCCTACTAGGTGAGGGAGGGGGGAGTATGAAAAAATAGAAGAGTAGGGGGGAGGGGGGT